TGGACCGCAACCGGTCCAGGACCGACCCAGATATTGAGGGAACCGAACCGAACCACCTAGGACCGGTCTTTTGCGGTCCATGATACCAGTTCAGACCGATCCAGACCGGTTTTTTTGCGTATAATTTATTATATCAATATAAACCATTTGTATCTCAACCATTATTACTCTGAAAAATAAACAGGTTATATAAAATAGTAAAGCATATAAATACCCATCATTCTACCAATTTTCAAGAGATTTAATGAAGATTTGACATAGCTATGACTGAAACTGAATTACATCTCCTAGAGACTCCGGTAAAATATGGATTTGGTTATATCTTTCTCAATTCTTAACCGTTTTTGATGAAACAAAAACCCAATAAAAGGCAATAAACGTGGTTACAAGGCTATGTAACGCACGTGACCGTTTAACCGGTTGCAACCGATTAAAACCGGTCTTTGAACGGTTTTAAAAGATTTTCGAAATGAGGCAACCGGCAACTGGACCAACCCCAAATTGGGGCAACTGCAACCGAAAAAAAGACCGGACCATGGTCCGGTTCAGTTCAGTCCACTGGCTTTTTGCGGTCCTATGGACTGAACCTTTAAACACTATTTTCAGGTCAGCATTGGGTTTCATAAATACCTTTCAGGCTGAAGTGGAGCAAACACAATGCTGAGCAGGATGGAGTTGAAAGACAAGGACGGAAACGTGCCATGTCAACAGTATCCACTCAGTCTAGACAGGGATCACCCACGAAGAGAACCCACCATGGACTTTAGAATAAATTCACCTAGTTTTATTTCATGTAACAGACATTGTACAATGTAATCTACTTTATTGCAACTCGATGTGTGCAGAGATGATCCTAATTTCGACATTATCTAGCTAATTTGCCAAATGCAGACTTGACCCATTTGGGTTACTGATGCTACATGGTCAGGGGAGTGGGATATGTCAGGATCTTCTGCTTGGAGCCCCTTGGCCAACCCTCCCGATGTGAGTGATGGTTGGAGCTTGACAATGATGTTGTATAGCTCAGCCCAGGCTGTAGTTTTTGACCATTTGACCCCAGGAAAATCCACACTACTGTTTTCCATATAGCCTGCAACTATCCAAAACTTCAAATGGCATATTCATGTGGATCCTCATTCCTTCTTGTAGTAGGACCGGAAATTGAAAAAAAAAATCCACCTATAATGAAATATACCCCTAGAATAGGTTTTCTGCTCAGAATATGGTTCTACAGTATCTATTTTTAGCCTGACATGTTTCCATTTGTTTCCGGCATCAATTGTCTCTTATTTGGGTTGATTTGGGTGTTCCCTCCCATCAATATCGATGTGCGATATGATTTCCATTGATTCCAAACGTCAGATATGTTTCTGGCAACGTGGATATGTTCCTGGCCTTTCTATTTTTAACCTGTGTGCATGTCTCATCAAAATCGGCTTCTCTGCTCGAAATCTTGCCTTCCCCTGCCTTCCCTTCGGCTCCATCAATACTTATCGCTCCGTCCGCAGCTTTCTGGTACTTGTTCACCCTGCATATGTTATGTTTTTTGACATTCATATGTTCATATTTTCTTTTCACTTTGTTTTGGTTATCGTGCGTGCGTGTCTAGACCTCGTTTGTTTATCGTGCGTGCGTGTTTTGTTTTTCGTATGTTCGTATTTTATTTCTCTTATACTCACACAATGTAATCATCAATGTATACGCGTACGCAATCCGTTCTTTCTTTGAGAAATGAATACAACCGCTTGTTGAACTCCAAACTGCCAAGTTGAACATTTGTCATGTGACTACATGTTGAACGCGTTGGCGTCGCTATGTTGAACGCGTCGCGTTGTTATGCACAAGATATATCATTTTACTAAGTATGGCTGTACCATACCGTCAATTACAAAATAAGACTGAGCTATCGGCAATAATCTACAAGATAATAAAAGAGGCACTTTGAGCCGATGCTGATTTGAGTTGAGCCTTAGCGCTTGCGCTTTTTTGCAGTCATCGTCTGCTTGGTCGACTTGGTGGTCGAGGTGACTTGGGGAGCAAGTGTTGCTCTGCAGTTTAATGAGAACAAAGTTATCCAGGCATAAAAGTCTGGACACTTACTTCCAACCCAGAACCTGGGACAAGACCCACTGCACATCCTCCACAGCAGCTATCCAACCTGGGTCATTGACCCCCTCTTTCCCCTTGTCCAGGAGACCGGAATTCCACCAGACGAGGGTCGCGAGCACGGTCAGAAACACGTTCTGGCCATGTTTGTCCATTACTGACCACCCCTCATCTCCTGTGAGGACAGTACAATGGGAACTACCTAAACGGCCGTCTACTCCCGCAGCGTTGCGCCAACTCGGCTGAAGAACCTTCCACCATGTCCACCAGCTCCTTTCGAAAGATGCGACATCCTGGATAAGGGGTGCCTTGCTACGGCCACGGCCGACCCACCAATCCACCTGTGAGGGCCGACTTGTTTTCTTAAATCCCATATGGATGCCTCCGACGTTGAAGTTGCTGCAAGCCTCCAACTCCACATACAGCTTGATGGTTTTTGTGAATGCCAGGCCAAGATCTTGTGCTGATAGAAGCTCATAGCCTCTCAGAAACCACTCCGGCCACTTTGGATCTGGAAGCGACGGTGTGGGAGTTGAGGTGACGATTGGCTGCAATGCTAAGGCAAGAGATGGTTCGGTAGAAACGGGGGCGGGGGGAACGAGTGGTTGGGCGAGGGAGGGAGATGGCTGACACGGAACGAGAGGAGCAGAGGGCTGAGTAGGGGCAGAGGGAACGAGTGGTTGGACGCAAGGGAGGGAGATGGC